CCACCACGTTATACCTGTATTGGTTGTTCTCCAGTGTCTTTTTACTGTTGTTTTATGTATTTGTGTCTTTTATGTTGATTTTGTTGAGATACTGAGTCTGATATAAGCTATTTAGTCATGGCTGGCCTGTAGTTTATGTGCATGCATTAAAAAAAGGTTTATTTGTTATTTGTTTATTTTTATTGTGGTCAAATTGGCATAACAAAATCAGCTGTTTATACAATTCAGTGGTGTTTAGTACATTCACAATGCTGTGTGCATACATTTTTAAATTTAAATAAATGATAGTACATTATAGCTTTTGTTCTTTGTCTCATTTTCACCTAACAGTATATTTTAAGAATTTTTCCGTATAACTTTACGATTTATTATTTTTAACAATTACACAGTATACATTTCACTTATCCATTCCTCTTGTGATGGACACCCACTTTGTCTACAACTCCCCACTACCTAGACTATATTGCAGATAATAAGAATTTACTCTTGTTTCCATTGTCCTCAGGAAAGCTGATTATGTAGGGACCTCTTATGAAATATAATTCCAAAAATATCTAGTTTGATTCATTATCTGAGATCTGCTGGAGGAATTGCCTCTTGGAAATTCATGGGCTTTTGGGAACCATTCTAGTCCATAACATTGTCCCAGATTCATTTTGGCACCAGTATAATTTCTTTGAGCAAATCTAAACATCTCTGAACACTATACATTTTGCCAGATAAAAGATTGGTAGCACTCCATTCTATCTCTCAGTGTCTCAGTTGCTTATATATATAAATATATATGGAAAAAATTGGATGGCTAGAGACTTACTACAGTCCCTCAGACTGGCAGGATTCTACAATTTACTGGAAGTCTGTGACTTTAGATAATGATAGACTGCAGTGTATTTAGTGATCAGACTCAAAATCTGAGTGTTCTAACCACTTATTAGCTCTGTGACTTTGAGCAAGTTACTTAACCTGTCAGAACCTCAGTTCCCCACCTCTATGATGAGAGTAATAATAGAGTAGTTTTTGGATGACATTTAAAGAGAATAAGGTAATGCAAAACACTTATCCCAGTTCTGGCACATGTTAAGTGCGTAGTATTAATAGGTGTTCTTGGTCATTTGGTGTAGACTGTAAATGATATTTTATCTTCTTATTTCCTTTCAATACTAAATGTATTTCTTTGCTTATGCTGCTCATTTGGCACTCAAAAATGTGGTATTTTGTATTATTGTTAATGAGTTATGTTCTTTTCCATTAATTAAGTGTAAACTTATAGAGAACAGATTTTTTTTCCAGAACCTAACTTAATTTGCTTCTGCTGAAGATTAAATTAAGAATGCATACTGAACACAGTGAGAACTCCAACAAAGAAAATAGGAAATATAAGAAAGTACTAGATAGAAGTCACAGAGCTGAAGAATATAATAACTGAACTAAAAAATTTACTAGGGGGGTTCAACAGCAGACTAGAAGCAGCAAAAAGGATCAGTGAACTTGAAGACCAGGCAGTGGAACTCACCCAATCAGAGCTGCAAAAAGGAAAAAGAATGAAAGAAAGTGAAGATAGCTTAAGGAACTTATGGGACAACATCAGGAGGACTGACAGTCACATAACAGGGCTCCCAGAAGGAAAGAAGAGAGAGAAAGGGGCAGAAAAATTGTTTGAAGAAAGAATGGCTGAAAACTTCCCTAATCTGGGGGAAGGAAACAAACATGCAGATCCAGGAAGCCCAGAGAGTTCCACATACAGGGACCGCCAAAGAGGTCCCACCAAGACACATTATAGTTAAAATGTCAAAAGTTTAAGACAAAGAGAGATTCTTAAAAGTAGCAATGGAAAAACAGTGTGTTATGTATAAAGGAACCCCCATAAGACTATGAGCAGATACTTCCAGTAGAAACTTTGCAGGCCAGAATGGAGTGGCATGATATATGCAAAGCACTGAAGGAAAAAAACTCCCAACCTAAGTTACTCCACCCGGCAGTTACATCCAGAATTAGAGGAGAGATAAAGAATTTTTCCAGACAAGCAAAAGCTAGAGCTTATCACCACTAAATTGACCTTACACAAAATGTTAAAGGGACTTCTTTAGGCTGAAAGGAAAGGATGCTAATTAGTAACAAGAAAACATATGAAAATATAAATCTCACTGGTAAGGGTTAATATATAGTAAAGGTAGTGGATTAATCACTTATAAAGTTCGTATGAATGGTAAAAGACAAAAGTAGTAAAAATAACTGTAACTACAATAATTAAGGGATACACACAAGATAAAAAGATGTAAAATGTAACATCAAAAACAAAAAAACATTGAGGGGGAGAGTAAAAATGTAGAACATTAAAATGCATTTATACTTAAGTTATTATCAACTTAAAATACACTGTCACTAACATAAGTTGTTATATGAAAATATGATAACTACAGAGCAAAAACCTGAGTATATACACAAAAGATAACAAGAAAGTAATCTAAGCATTGCACTAGAGAAAGTCATCAAGCCATAATGGAAGTGAGCAAGGGAAGAAGAAAGGACCAGAGAAGAACTACAAAACAGCCAGAAAACAATTAACAAAATGAAAATAAGTGCATACTTATTAATTACTTTAAATGTAAATTGACTGAATTCTCTATTCAGAAGAGTAGCTGAATGGATAAAAAAAAAATAAGACCCATCTATATGCTGCCTGCAAGAGACTCACTGCAGATGTGAAGAGAGAAATAGACTGAAAGTGAAGGGATGGAAAAATATATTCCATGCAAATGGAAGACCAAAGAAAGTTGGGATAGCTATACTTATATCAAACAAAACAGACTTTAAAACAAAGACTAATTAGAAGGGCGTTACATAATGATAAAGCGGTCATTTCTAATAAGAGGATATATGACATTTGCAAATATTTATGTACCAACATACATATATAAAGCAAATATTAACAGACATAAAGAGAGAAATAGAGAGCAAAACAATAACAGTAGGGGACTTATTGAAGCCCCCTCACTTACAACAACGGATAGATCACTAGACAGAGAATCAAGAAGAAAACATTGCCCCAAAGGACATATTAGACTAGATAGACTTAACTAAAGATATAGACAGGACATTCCATCCAAAAGCAACAGAATACATATTCTTCTCAAGCACACATGGAATATTCTCCAGGATTCATCATATGTTAGGTCATAAAACAAGTCTTAATAAATTTAAGAAGATGAAAATCGTATCAAGAATCTTTTCCAGCTAGAATAGTATGAAACTGGAAATTGTTTACTAGGAAGAAAACTGGAAAAATCACAAACATGTGGGGATTAAACATAATGCTATAGAACAACCAGTGGGTCAGTGAAGAAATAACAGAGAAATCAAAAAAATACCTTGAGACAAAAATGGAAATACAACATTCCAATCTTATGAGATGCAGCATACGTAGTTTTAAGAGGGAAGTTCATAGCAATAAATGCCTACCTCAAGAAATGAGAAAAATCTCAAATAACTTAACTTTATACCTTAAAGAACTAGAAAACGAACAAGTGAAGCCCAAAGTTAATGGAAGGAAGGAAATAACATAGAGCAGAAATAAATGAAATACAGACTAAAAGGACAATAGAAAAGACCAAACTAAGAGTTGGTTCTTTGAAAAGATAAACAAAATTAACAAACCTTCAGTTAGACTCACCAAGAAAGAAAACAAGAGAACTCAGGTGGATAAAATCAGAAATGAAAGAAGAGACGTTACAACTGATACCACGAAAATACAAGGGATTGAGACTGTTATGAACACTTATATGCCAACAATGTGGACAACCTAGAAGAAACGGACATACTTCTAGAAGCATACAACCTGTCAAGACTGAATCACAAAGAAATAGAAAATCTGAACAGACCAGTTACCAGTAAGGAGATTGTATCAGTGATCAGAAACCTCCCAACAAATAAAAATCCAGGACCAGACAGTTTTGCTGGTGAATTCTACCAAACATTACAAGAATTAATACCAATCCTTCTCAAACTCTTTCAAAAATAAAAGATGAGGGAATGCTTCCAAACTCATTTTACAAGGCCAACATTACCATGAAACCAAAACCAGACAAGGATGCCACACAAGAAAAGAAAATTATAGGGCAATATCCCTGATGGGCATAGATGCAAAAACCCCCAACAAAATATTAGCAAACTAAATTCAACAATACATTAAAAAGATTATACATCGTGATCAAGTGGGGTTGATTCCAGGGATGCAAGGATGGTTCATCGTCTGCAAATCAGTCAGTGTCATATCTCACGTTAACAAAATGAAGGATAAAAACCATGTAATCTCAATAGATGCAGAAAAAGCATTGGACAGAATTCAGCATCCATTTACAATAAAAACTCTTAACAAAGTGGGTGTAGAGGGAATGTACCTCAACATAATAGAGGCTATATATGACAAGCCCACAGCTAACATCAAAACCAGGGCATTATGCCTGGTGAAAAAAATGAGACAAAGACAAATACAGTATGATCTCATTTATGTGTGGAATCTAAAATTTGAAAAAACGCAAGCTCATAGATACAGAGAACAGATTAATGGTTGCCAGAAGTGGATTGGGGGGGTGGTGACGAGGCTTGGTGAAATGGGTTAAAAGGAGTCAAAAAGTTCAAACTTCCAGTTATAAACAAGTCATCAGTGTGTAACGTATAGCATGGTAACTATTGTAATACTGTATTGCATATTTGAAAGTTGCTAAGAGAGTAGATCTTAAAAATTCTCATCACATAAAAAAATTTTTGTGTGCTGTGTATGGTGATGGATGTTAACTAGACTTATTGTGGTGGTTATTTCATAATATATGCAGATACCGAATCATTTTGTACACCTGAGACTAGTATAATGTTATATGTCAATTATACCTCAATAAATAAAAAAGCGTTTTGAATATTTTCTTCTTTTTCACTTTCCCCTCTCATTTTTAGGAAACAGAAAATATTTGTATTTAAATTCAAAATTGAACTTTTTTTTTCAGATAACCATGATGCTTACAGAGACTGCTGTTATGCCTTTTGCTTTTTTTGAGGATACATTGAGTTGGATGCTGTTTGGCTGGCAGCAGCTGTTTTCATCATGTGAAAAGAGAAGTGAAACAAACTCGTCTCTCAGTGGTACTGGTTCATCGACCTCAAAACCTGCAGCTGATGCTTCAGATAAAGTTCATAAGAAGCATACTAAGAAGACTAAATTTACTTGATGAACTTCAGAAGGCAAAAAATTTTCTTTGTCTTATCTACCTGTCAGATTGTGATAAATATTTCTATGTAAATGATGTAAAATAAAGATTATATATAAGGATTGGAGGTGACAAAAAGAAAGAACTTCTTTCTGTTTCAGGGAGACTCTCCCTTTCTGGATTGTAATTTCCTGAGTGTTATGAGTGTATCATGTGAAATGGTTTTTCTAAGTTATATATAAAAGATTCTGTTGTGATTTTTAAAATAGTTTTATATTGATAAAAGCCTAGTGTTTTTGAATGTTAGAAAAAGTAAACCTACTGTTATTGCAAAATAACAAAAATTAAAGTTTTATTGTTTAATCTAGATATTTTCATACATGTTTTTTATTTGAATCTGAGCTTTAGCTTAGCAAAATTAAACTTTTATTACACATTACCATTATAATTCTTAGATATGAAAAACAATTCCTGTTTAATTTTGAGTACTAAGAAAAGTAAACTTTACCTAAATCACTTTATATTATGAATGAAAATAAATTATTAGCTTATATTTCAGAAATAAACATTGTATATTTTGCCCACATTAAATGGAAATATCTGAAATTTTATTTAATTTTTTTCTAGTAGTATTTTTCAGTGAGAGCAGAGTATTATTAGTCTTAATCTTAAGTGTGTTTCATGCCCTTGTTTAAACTATTTCTTTTTTCTCAAAAGAAAATCAGGGGTATAGTTTTTAATAAGTTACTAAGTCCATGTTTTGCTTTGCAAGTTTTGAGGAGCTTATTTTTTTCTCTCTCCTTAAAACACATTTGTTTTAACTGTAGGAGAAATTATTCTTCTCAGCATTTCATATATTCTTAAGTATTATTTCAATTTAAAAATTTCACCTTTGTCTTCTTTTTAATGGGTACTTTTCAGTTTTCTGGTTGAATGTCTCTGACTAGTTTACATAGGTTATATTTTAATGTACATGTACATATATTTTTAGTTTTATTTTAAATTAAAACTAGTTACCCTTATGTAAAAATGCTCAGCTCTAATGAGAATTGTCTTCGGGCATTTGATAACAACCACCTAATTAAGAAGAAACAAACTAAAATCTTGTATGGTAGTAGTCTATTTGAATGAAGAATGATGAAGTGAAATTTGATACCTTATTGGCAAAAATAATTAAAAGAAGAAGAAAAGGTACTAAATCATGTTAGATTTTCTTATTTTATTTTGTAGTTTAAAAGCCCAGTTATAATTTTGAAACTTTATGACTGACATGATTTCTTCTACTGAGACCATGCGCCTGCAAAAAGTTAGTATGTATCAGGCATCTTTGGATGGTATAGAACTACTCAAACCATATTCAAGTTAGAAGTCTTGATTTTTAAAAATTTTAACAAATATAAACACCAGCAGGGATTATACTTTTGTTAAAAAAAATTTTGGGGGGGGGAGGACCTTTGATAGCCTTGGGATGCTAAGAAGTTTATTTTTAATATTCTGACAGAAGGCATTAAATATTTAAGAGTCCTGTATTGCATTTGACACTCTTGTAGTTAAAAACTTTTCACAGTTAACATGTTGCTAATTACTGACTTAGTTTTGAAGTTTGGGTTTAACTGTAGTTGAAATGTTAGGAATCTTATTTTACACTTGTATTAAAGACAGATTTATTAAACTAAGTTATTTAGCACCAGTGGAATATTTTATCATTTTTATGTTTTTTCTGTTTTTCTTGATTTAGGAGTTTATAACTCCTTTGGCCTTTCGACTGATATATGGTATATATTCAGTGATTACTGTCCGAATGAGATGTACGACCTTTATGGAACAAACTTTTATTAATCTGTGCAAGTATCCTGTAACCTTTAATTCAAGGTTTTTAGGAAAAAGCTGTACTGGAGGACATGGCTTAGGTTTGAAACCTCCCACCCTTAATATATTCATGCTGCCTGCAGAGACTTGACTGGATTTGCGAAGCAGATTGTTAGACTCCTTACCCAACAGTGTAGCATGAATGAAGCCTGTGGGCCTGCTTCACACAGTCATAGGTGGCACTGAGAAAGTCAAGATCTGGTAGGTCTCGTTAAATACTAGAGAATGGACTTGATATAGGGAGGGGGAAGGGTAAGCTGTGACAAAGCGAGAGAGAGGCATGGACATATATACACTACCAAACGTAAGGTAGATAGCTAGTGGGAAGCAGCCGCATAGCACAGGGAGATCAGCTCGCTGCTGTGTGACCACCTAGAGGGGTGGGATAGGGAGGGTGGGAGGGAGGGAGACGCAAGAGGGAGGAGATATGGGAACATATGTATATGTATAACTGATTCACTTTGTTATAAAGCAGAAGCTAACACACCATTGTAAAGCAATTGTACTCCAATAAAGATGTAAAAAATAAATAAATAAAAGGAGACAAGAAGGTGGCAAGAACATGGGCTGGCTAACTCAGTGATCTCACCCTCAAGTAAAATATGGCCAAATTAATATCAAACTCTGATTTATCAGATTAGTCACACTTCCTTGCTGAGTGTGCAAGGGCTGGAGAGGGACCAGATAATGTAGAGTGAGTGGATTTCAGTGGAAATTCCAGGTTTCTTGTAGGCAGAGACCAAAAAGTGGAGACAATAGGGGAGACGTTCCCTCTGTAGTGTATTTTTTGGTCTTATTCCTGTAAGGCCTACATCATTCCATTAAAATCTACCTCAGATCACAAGCTGATTGCAATTGAGTGATATGTTAGAAATGGAATAACATATACAAGAATACCCTCTTTCCCCCACTGCTTTCTTGGTGTTTACATTTTACTGGTGGTGAGACATACAATAAGCAAACAGATGTGTTCTTGTGGTAATACTACAGGTTATGCATATATATTAAGCAGCACACAAGGATAGAAAGTGAGAATTGGGGGTACTTGTTAATTAGCAGTTAGAAAAGGCCTTTCTGTTAAAATTGTATTTTACCAGAGACCTGAAGGAAGTGGGTGGGGCAGGCCGGGCAGACATCTGTGTTAAGTGCAAGGGTCATTCTGTTTCTTCATATACTTGACTTAGATTATGTACTTTTTTCCAAAAATTACTTAATTTATTTTTCTTATTTAGTACAGTTTCACACTTGTAGTTTTTAACAGACATATTTCTTTGATAGAATTTATTTTTGTTTCCACAGTTTGTTCTTTTTTTAAGGTAAAATTCACATACAATGAAATGCATAAGTTGTAAGTGTATATTTAAAGAGTTGGCAAATACATACAACTGTACAGCCTAAAATCCTATCAAGAGATAGAAGATTGCCAGTGCCTCAGGAAGTTCCTTTCTAGTTAATTCACACCCTCCCCCCCAACTGAATAGAAATAAAATCATGCAGTATATTCTCTTCGGTGTAAGACTTCTTTCAAACGACATAATGTTTTTGAAATTTATCTTGTTGTATTTATCATGAGTTCATTCCTTTTTAATTCCTTGGTAGCATTGTACTATATGAATATGTTGCAGTGTGTTTATCCTATTGATGCACATCAGGGCTGTTTCTAGTTTCGGATATTGTGAATAAGCTACTATGAACATTTTTGTACAGTTCTTTTGGGGAACATGTTTTTTTATTTCTCTTGAGCAAATACCTAGGAGTAGAATTATGTTTAGTTGTAAAAAAACCACTAGACCTCTTTTCCAAAGTGGTTGTACCATTTTATACTTCACAACAATGTATGAGAGTTCCAGTTGCTCTACATTCTTATCAAGGATTATTGTTGTCAAACATTTTAATTTTGTCCATTTCCAATGGGTGGTTTGTAGTTTTTAAGGTTTTAATTTGCATTTCCCTAATGATTAGTGGTGTAGAGCACTTTTTTGAGTGTGTTCTTATTGGCCATTTGTGTATCTCCCTCAGTAAAGTGTCTCTTCAGACCATTGCCCATATTATATTGGATTTGTCTTTTTATTATTAAGTAGTAGTAGTTCTTCATGTATCTTGGATATCCATTCTTTGTTAAATAGGTGTTTTGTACATATTTTCTTTCTGGGCTGTGGATTACCTCTTCATTTTTATAATGATGTCGTTTAATGAACACACATTTTTAATTTCAAAGAAGTCTTAATTTCCCAGGATTTTATTTTACAATTATTGTTTTCTGTGTCTTAAGAACCTTTTTCCTACCTCCAAGTCATAAATATATTTGCCCATCAAGGAACCCCAAATAATATAGGAGTGCCTAGTTTTATTCTGAGAAACACTTAAAAGAGAAACACCTTATGCTACTATGTAGTGATTATGTTACTCAGCAAGTCGCTCAGGCCTAATTTTTTGTTCTGCTTCTCAAAAAATCACTGCACATCTTATATATGTGGTCACTTTTTCTGTGCTTGTGCTAAAGGTAATACATTATAGGAATTGAAGACTTTTTTTTCTGTATGTCTATTTAGGGAGTTTCTGTATGTAGGCTTGTCCTTGGTTTATCACAACTCTGATGTTTAAAAGAGATGGTGAATAAGAATGTGACAACAAAATATATTTAGAACGAAATAAAATGTCTTCTAAGCTCAGTCTAGGTGTGGGATTGGTTGGGAAGGTAGTGGTCCATATTGAAATATATAATCCAAGTGCATCTTTGTGGTGACAAAATGTGGACCAGTGATCGGGCATGAAAATGAGTACAGCTTAATTTACATGGCTGACCATCTGATATTCCATGACAATACAAAGTGGCACACTGAATTGAAGTTGAAAACGATTGCGTTCTTCCTACATTTGATAAAGAGAATTAAGATTTAATTGGGATAAAAAAAATAAGCAATTTGTATGGTGGGATTATGGTTTGCTATGGGGAAGAGGAAATGGGGGAGACTCCTGCCAGACAAAGTAACTTCAGATGTATTTTTACCCCTGTAGAGTTGTATTAGTAAAGAGAATAAAGTTGATAATGAATATTTGTATTTTTATAAATATTTTATGTAATGTAAAGTTTGACTTAAAAATTCAGTCTAATCTCAGTAAAAGTAGACTGTAGACTGAAACCTTTCTTGAGAATAATATGAAGTGAAAGGAATAGGGTACAGTGGCTGATAAGCAGCGTTGTTATATTGACATCTTAATGAGATGTGAGAAGAAGTACATAATATCTTGATTAAATTTGCAAAGGACATTCGGTATAATGAAAGCCTGTGTAAGTGACAGGAAGAATTCAAAGGACTAATGGTATGCTTGGAAAATGATTCAACTTATTCAGTTAAAAAATGTTGAATTATACAGCTGGGGAGAATTATATAAGGCCCAAACCTAAGGAAAAATGCATGCATTTCGTAAAAATATGAATAACAAAACTTAATGAAACATTAGCATGTTATAGTCTTTATTTTGAGCAGCTGATGTTTTGGGGGTTATATTACTGAGGAAAGAGCAATTCATGTTAGAGGACACATTGCTGTCTTTGCCATGACCTTAAAGGACTGTTTTGAAAATAAGATAATGTATATGAAAATGTGTTTGAAACATTATTTTACAGAGAAGAGTCTAGTTAATTTACAGATAAAACCAGAGTTCTGCAGTTTGGAGTGAAGAAT